CTATATGCTCCTATGAGTAAAATAAAATATTTTCTCAATAACACTTCTTCTAACCTATTCATATTATTTCCCTACTTTACAAATTAGGAAGCTGATTCACTGAAAGTGATTAAATAACTTGTGCCAAGTGGAGAAACCAAGATAGAAAGCCACATAATTTTGCCAGCAGAGCCCAGTCTTCACAAGTTACTTTTTGTCTTCTTGACCATGGCAAAAACTCAGAACTAGTTAAAAGAGGGGTCACACATCACAAAACATATTAACGGCAGAGCTAATGAGGTCTAAGATCATTTGCTCATGGTGTTTTACATATTTTACTTTATCAAAAGGCCTGGTCTTACGGGAAATGATGGCCAAATGAATGTTGGCATTCCCTGGAGAACTCAGAAAGGTTAGGTGTGATGACAAAAAATGGAGACCAACCTCCTAGTTTAGGGCTGAGGGAAACCTATGGAAACTGTCCTCAGCTCAGAGCCATGGTGTCATCCAGCCTGAGGCTGACCCACTGCCCATGCGCTTGACTATAATTTGCTAGGCCAACCGGATTGGAATATCTTGGACCCAGACAAGCAGAAATTTGAAGATGGCATTCATTACTATCTTATAATTTAATAGCCATTGAAAGTTTAGATCTCTGTCTTGGAATGGGGTTAGAGGGCAAGAACAAATGCTATTGCTCATAAAGTATTCAAAAAGGCCAAAGGCAAAAAAAAATGGGGGAGGGGTTGTGGGATACAGAAAGATTTCTCCCAAGTTGTCTACCCCAAATAGATGCCAAACCCAAGACACTGCTTGCTACACATGGTAAATGAGTGTACACTAGGAAGGCAATGAAAGTAGGTCAGTTTATTCTCCTTAAGGGTATCTGGAGCAACCAGACTGCACAGTCTGACTCACCCTAAATAGGGCCCCTCCTTTGGATAGTTTTCCCTTGCAGGAGAGCCCAAAGGCAGGCCTGGGACCACTCAGGGATGACTAAGGTTGGGCTACTTTATTGAGTCTAGTGTCCGCCCCTCTTGCCACATATGTACCCCTCTTCCCTCCCTTTACCATTGCATGTACTCCCCTAGGCCATCCCCCTCCTATTGCTTGTATTGCCTATGTTACAACCCCTTCTTATGACTTAGGGCGTTATCTGTAACCAGGGGGCTTGTATGCCCCCAAAGATATATAACCTTTGGTTAGAAATAAAACCTCATGCTCTCTCTCCTGCCCTCTCGTCTCCATCTCCATGGGTACCACCAAGAGGAGCTGAGGTGAGCTTGCTACCATGATATGTATCTGATTTCTTTATTTTATTATCTCTCCTATCTCTCCTATTCTCTATGACTTGGCTAGAATCTTTCTATATCATAAGCATACAGTTGCGCCTACCAAACCTGTGATTAGTTGTGAGGGGCTAGTTACTCCCACAAAGGGTCAAACCTGTTTCCTCGGAACTCGTCCGAAGCACGAGATGGAAGCATTTGCCTGTGTGAAATTGATTGGGTATCTCTTGTGCAGGTTGGATTTCATTTAGCGGTCGGTCATGTAGCGAGGTATTATGATAAGCTGTTCAAAGCCTTTAATAGAACTAAAGTTTGCTGTTGCTGTTATGAATCATCATATTAATGAACTGTAT